TGGACTGAAGCAAAAAAAAAAAAAAAAAAAAAAAAAAGGGTTGTATGGTTTTAAGGAGGGGGCTACAGGGACAAACACCTATCACAGACACTATCTTTCCTGGGTTGAGCACTCCCCTTAATGCCACATCAGGCTGGGGGGACGTGTTACCCCATCCTCTGACTCCCTGGGACCCCACCTTGCCAAGCTCACACCCTGCAGAGGAGTCTGCTGGCTTCTGGCTGCAGTCAGCCTGGGCCCATGGTACACACTTTCTTGGAAGGCACTCAAGGAAATCCATTTTCTGCCACATGCCCAAACTGATGCTTCCATTTTTGTGCAAAGCCCTCTCTCCACATGGCCAAATCCTAATCAGTTTTAGTTTGATGACCGCTATTGGCTTCACCCAGACAAGTCCATGAGACCACACTCTACCACAAAGGTCTTCAGGCCTCAGGTGGGTGGGGGCTCACCATGATGTACTCTGAGACTTTTGCTGAGTGGCAACAATCTATAAACCTGATGAATACCACTCGCCTACCTCCTGGTAACTCATTGAAAATGTACCTCATGCAACTTGAGAATCACCAGAATCTATTTCTGTGACTGAGCCTAATAAGCAGCCACAGGAGGAGGTGAATACTGGGGCGCTTTGGGCTTTTAGCTGACCTGCCCCTAGGCCAGCCGTGGGCAAACTATTTCAAACGGACCCGGCCCGTTTGAAATGAATAAAACTAAAAAAAAAAAAAGACCGTACCCTTTTATGTAATGATGTTTACTTTGAATTTATATTAGTTCACACAAACACTCCATCCATGCTTTTGTTCCGGCCCTCCAGTCCAGTTTAAGAACCCATTGTGGCCCTCGAGTCAAAAAGTTTGCCCACCCCTGCTAGGCTCAGTGCTGGTGGTCACCTGCCTTGGTATGCAGCTTGCCCCAGTCCCACACACACCAAGGCTCAACAGAGGAAGCCACAAACTGTGGCTAGATTTGTAACTCCTAATAGGAAGCCCAGGGAAAATCACCTGATACTGACCTGCACCTTAGTCTCTCCTAAGAGGTCCCAGAAACAAACACCCAGTGTCTGGCTTCAGAGTATATCATAGAATGACTTGATTAACTCAAAAAGCAACACACCCAAAGGGAGATCTTGGCAGGCACCAGAACAAGTTGTTGCAAATTTGGCTTCATTCAGATCAGCTGTTACACAGCAGCTCATATACTATGGTTGGGATCAATTTTCATAATCAGCCAGCCTGACAGCCAACCCCACCCATGGACAAATCAACAACAATGGATTCTAAACTACAACAGAAGTGCTCACCTAACCCACCCACACAAGGGACTTTTCTGGAGCAACTAGCTCAGGGGATTAAAGACTGCACCTGAATCCCACAGGACACCTGTTATATAAGGCCACCCTATCAAGACTTAAAGACATAGCCATTCTTCCTAAACATATAAACAAATACGGAGAGCCAGCCAAAATGGGGAGACAAAGCAACATGCCCCAAATGAAAAAAAAAAGAGAAATCTCCAGAAAAATAATAAATAAAATGGAGGCAAGCAGTCAACTAGATATTGAGTTCAAACCAATGGCTATAAGGAATTTAGTGAGAAATACAACAAAAGGATAGCAAACATAAAAAAGGACTTAGAAACCATAACAAAAGCAGTCAGAAATGAAGAATACAATGTCTGAAATAAAGACAACACCAGAAGGAATCAACAGCACATTACACAAAGCAGTAACTGAATGACTGCCGGGGGGCAGAGGGGTTGTTACCCACATCTACTAGGGTTCAGGAATCTGGAGAAGGGGCTGCGAATAAATTAAATAAACTAGACATGAAATATAAATTTGGAAGGCATTTTTGAGGGAGCCAGGGAGGCTCAGTTTTAGTAACTAAGTTCTTTTGAATCTCTGGACCCCTTGCTTTTTATTAACACATTTTGCCCTATAGCAAAGCAGATATACATATCAAAGGAATGTTTGGTAAACAATTAAAGATTTCAGGATGGGGACCTGCCCTCAGCTATCTGGCAGCAGGCCATAATGTGTGCAGATCTTCAGGTTTGGGAGAAATGCTTTCAGCTATTCCAGCAGCAGGTAATATGATTTAGCCCTGCTGAAGCCCCAAGGTTCATCAACCTTTTGATGAACTTCTTACATTTATGACCTGCTGGAATTAGCCTCCAGCAAATCACCAATTTAGAAGACCAGGTATCAAAAAACACCCTATCTGAGCAGTAAGAAAATAAAAAAAGAATTAAAAATTGGCAGATTTTAATATATCTTGCATACATCATGTAATATGGCAACAGCCACATAATATGAGTACCAGAAGGAGAAAAGAGAGAACAAGGGATTAAGAAACTATTTGAAGAAATAATGACTGAAAACTTTTCTAACCTGCTGAAGGAAAAAGGCACTCAAGTCTAGGAAGCACAGGGTCACAAACAAAATGAACCCAAAGAGGCTCATGCCAAGACACATCATAATAAATATAGCAAAGATTAAAAGCAAAGTAAGAATCTTAAAAGCATCAAGAGAAAGATAATTAACTACAAAATAGCTTTCAAAATACTGTCATCTGATTTCTCAACAGAAACATTTCAGACCAGACAACATTGGCACAAAATGTTCAAAGTGGAAAAAAAGCAAGTATTTGCAACCAAGACTATTGTACCCAGCAAGGTTATCATTTGAAATTGAAGGAAAAATAGAGCTTACCAAGAAAAAAGTAATGAAGTATATTACCACCAAACCAGAATTATAAAAAATTTTAAAGGGACTTTTTTTCAAAAACAAGGAGAAAAAAAAGAGAGAAAAATAATTATAAAGAATAAAACGGTAATAAATACATACCATCAATAATCACTTTAAAAGTCAATGAGTTAAATGATCCAATCAAAATGCATAGGGTAGCAGAATGGATAAGAAAACAAAACCATACATCAAAATAAAAAGCTTCTGCACAGCAAAAGAAACCATCAACAAAACAACAAGAAAACCCACTGCGTGGGAAAACATATTTGCCAATGTCATATCTGATAAGGCCTAATCTACAAAATTTATAGGGAACTCATACAACTTAACAAAAGGAAGATAAACAATTCAAGCAAAAAATGGGCAAAGGATCTAAATAGACACCTTTCAAAAGAGGACATTCAGAAAGCCAAGAGACATATGAAAACAAGCTCAAAGTCACTAATCATCCGAGAGATGCAAATCGAAACAACAGTGAGGTACCATCTCACACCTGTCAGACTGGCTATCATCAACAAATCCACAAACGACAAGTGCTGGAGAGGATGTGGAGAAGAAGGAACACTCGTGCACTGCTGGTGGGAATGCAGACTGGTGCAGCCACTATGGAAGTCAGTATGGAGTTTCCTCAAAAAACTAAAAATGGAACTCCCATTTGACCCTGTGATCCCACTTCTAGTCTAGGAATATATCCCAAGAAACCAGAAACACCAATCAGAAAGGATATATGCACCCATATGTTCATAGCAGCACAATTCACCATAGCTAAGATCTGGAAACAGCCTAAGTGCCCATCAGTAGATGAATGGATTAGAAAACGGTGGTACATCTACACGATGGAATACTATGCTGCTCTAAAAAGGAAGGAACTCTTACCATTTGCAACGGCATGGATGGAACTGGAGAGCATTATGCTAAGTGAAATTAGCCAGTCAATGAAGGAAAAACACCACATGATCTCACTCATTTATGGATAATAAAGACTATTATAAACTTATGAACAATAATAGATAGAGTCAGAGCTGCCTCAAACAGATTGTCAAACTTCAGCGGGAAGGCCAGGGAGGGTTGGGGGGCAGGAGGGAGGAGGGGTAAGAGATCAACCAAAGGACTTGTATGCATGCATATAAGCATAACCAATGGACATAAGACACTGGAGGGTAGGGGAGTCTAGGGGACTGTCAAGGGCAGGGGGGAAAAAGGACACATATGTAATACCCTTTGTAAAAAAAAAAAAAAAAAAAAAAAATAGAACAATCACACTTAAGCTACATAATCTTTACTACCTGGAATGGAGATAAGAAACGCCCTAACCTTTGGAATAGAAATTGATAGGATTAAAATCAACTGGTATAAATACAGATGTAACAAAGCAGTAAGACACAGAACCTGGCTGGAGATCCTGGCTAGAGATCCTGGCTAGGCTGCTGATCAAGTGAACGCTGTCCCTGTGTCATTCCTTCTTCACGGACTCTGTCCACACCTTTGGGAACCCCTGGACCTGCTGGGGCTGGAACCCAACAGGTGGCACCCGGACAGGATTCCCCTAGTTAGCACCCCAGACTCCACCACAGTGGCTGCGGCGCCTGGACGAGGCGAGCAGCGGTGGCCCATAACTAGTGTCGGGGCTGTCTGGCCTGGGGATGGGGTGGCGGTAGCTAGGTGCTCCTCCGCCTGTCGCTGCTCGGCCTCGCCCTGTACCTGGTGCCTGGCTGGCCGTGGGGGCAACCGTGGCCTGGTGGGGACTGAGCCGTGAGCCCTGAGGTCAAAGCACCTTGTCCTCGCTCTTTCAGAACGCGCGGCGTCAGCGAATCTGTTCACCATGCCCCCGGCCAAGTCCTCAGCCAAGGGAAACCTCCTAGAGCCGCAGACCCTGCTCGAAGGACCGACCCCGCCGAACTGCTCCTGCTGGGCAGTTACCAGGGCAAGCCAGGGTCCCCGCAGCCCGCCCCGGTCCCCGAGGCCAGGAACCCGCGGGAGCGACAGGTCCGTCGCCCTCCCACCCGCACCTCGCGGCCGGGTCTTTCAGCTCAGCGCGGGCATCACATTCGCTCCTCGCACCCCGCTCCTCTTTTCGGACCCTCCAGGAGGCCTTCCCGCAGGGCTTGTGGAACTTTATCAGGTCGGTTTTTAATAACACCTCGAAGACAATATCCGATTCAACAGGCCAAATATTCCGTTCAGGGGGTACTTCCCACAGTGTCCTGGAATGGTTATCGCAAGAAGACTGTGCCATCTCCTCCTAATTCCAAGATGGTGTGCAGTCCAGTGACAGTGAGGATTGCTCCTCCTGACAGAAAATTGACTCATTCTCCAATAACAGAGCAGTTACTCAGCTCAACACTGTCCTCACCATCAAGTAATGCTCCGGACCCATGTGCAAAGGAGACTGTGCTGCCTGCCCTCAAAGAGAGGAAGAAAAGAACACTGGGGAAAGAAGAACATATACTCACTGATGGCCAGGAAAATAAAAGAAGGCGCCATGATAGCAGTGGGGGAAGACATTCAGCATTTGAGCCCTTGGTGGCCAGTGGATTCCCTGCTTCTTTTGTGCCTAAGCCTGGGTCTCTGAAGAGAGCTCTCAGTTCCCAGAGCTCAGATGACCACTTGAATAAGCGATCCCGCACCTCCTTTATGAGCTCCATGATGAGCACATACACAGGAGGCATTCTTAGCTCCAGGAGCAATGCCATTACCAGTTCTTACAGGTCTACTCGAGGTTAGTCAGCTATGGCAGAGAAGTGGTCCACGTTCATCACCCTTTTCCAGCCCAGCCTCATCTCCCTCCCAGATTCCAGAGAGGCCAGCAAAGAAAATAAGAGAAGAGGAACTTTCCCAGCATTCTAGTCCTTCAACTCCATTAGTAACCGACAAGGAATCCCAGGGAGAAAGGGTTGTAGATACAACCACAAGGAAGAAACAGAACTTGAGGAATTCCCCACCTACACCTGGCAGCTCTAGGCAATGTAAACGGAAGTTTCAGCTGCTGCCCTCCAGGCGAGGGGACCAGCTGGCCTTGCCTCCACCTCCCCAGCTTGGTTATTCAATTACTGCCGAGGACCTAGACTTGGAAAAGAAGGCTTCAATACGATGGTTCAACGAGGTCTTGGCAGGTAAGACTAATGCTGCCTCGAGCTCAGTCACTGAGAACCCACCTGCCACTCAGCCTGTTACTTTTACCCTGCCTACTGCTGGGACTGCTCCCTCTCCAACCTCTCTCCCAGCCCCAAGCACCAATCCTCTATTGGAGAGCTTGACGAAGATGCAGGATTCCCCGGGCCTAACATCCTTCCCAGATGATTCAGCTGGAGTGGCACCTCCTGTGGCCCATTCGCCTCCGAAGACACCCAGCCTTCTGGGCCCTCTTGGCTCTTTGCAGTCAGCGCCCCTTCCGGGCACCTCCGCAGACTCCAAACCCACAGTATCTTTCTTGGGGCTGTCCCCTGCTTCTTCCATACCAGTCACTGACACCACCAAGTCACCTCAGGCTGAGACATCTGCCCCATCCCAGGCCCTGTCTGCCCCAGCCCTCAGCCCCAAGCCAAGTCTTCTGTTTGGAATGCTGAGCACTCCCCCTGCTAACCCTCCTGCCTCTGCAGCTCCTGCTGTGTCTTCAGCATCTCCCATGTTCAAGTCCATTTTTGAGGCCCCACCTAAAAGTGAGAATGAGGTCCCCCTGCTATGTAGCCCTTGCAAGGTCACAACCACAGCATCTTTTAGCTCTGCCCTTCCCACAACTACCAGCACCTCACCCATCACTTTCAAATCTGTTTTTGGCAGCATGGGGCCACCTACATCTGTGTCCTTGTCAACTCCCTTCTCCTTCAATCAGACAACTACTGCAGCCACAACCACAAATGCCCCGCTCTTCACTGGCCAGGCCAGTGCCACCTCAACAATGGCTTCTGCGACCACAGCAGGCACCTCTGCCGACTCAGCTTCGAAGCCTACTTTTGGCTCTGGTGTGAGCAATGTGACCAGCACCATGAACAGCATGACCAGCACCACTGCTTCCACCTCCCAACCTTTCCTCTTTGGGAATCCCCTTGCCGCTGGTGTCAGCTTTACCCCAGCCATAGGCTCCATATTTCAGTTTGGCAAGCTTTCTGCCATTCCTACTTCAACCACGACGACAACCACCACCACCTTTGGCCAGTCCCTATCCAGTGCCGTGCAGGCAGCCACCAATAGCAGCACCGCTGGCTTCAGTGGTTCTGGCAGCACCCTTACAACCTCAGCCCCGGTCACCACCAGCCAGCCTATCCTGACATTCAGTAGCTCTACCACCCCAACATTCAGCATTCCCTTTGGCTCAAGCACCGAGGCCCCTCTCCCATCATATCCGGGAGCTAACCCCCAGCCTTTTGCGGCTACTGATGGGCAGCAACTGGAAGCTACCAAGCCAACACTTGTCCCCAGCTTTGGCAACTCTTTCACTTTTGGAAACTCTGCAGCCCCAGCCCCAACTGCAACTCCAGCACCAACCCCAACCCGGCCAGCCTTTGGCAACACTGCTCAGTCAGCTTTTGGTGGTTTGAAACCCACAGCCTCCACCTTTGGCACCCCTGCCAGCACCCAGGCAGCCTTTGGCAGCTGCCTTCTCCTTTGGTGCAGCCACCACTTCAGGCTTTGGAGCTACAGCCCAGACCACCAGCAGCGGGACCAGTAGTTCAGTGTTTGGCAGCACAGCACCATCGCCCTTCACATTTGGGGTCTCAGCAGCCCCAGCTGGCAGTGGGGGTTTGGGGATCAATGTGGCTCCCCCAAGCACAAGCTCTACCTCTGGAGTGTTCAACTTTGGAGGAGGACAGAGTGGGACCCCTGACAACACCGCCCCCTTTGGGGGAGGCTTGAGTCAGAACACATTGGGCACACCCAGCCACAGCACACCCTTTTCCTTCAATGTGGCCAGCATGCCCGAGAGCACCCCTGTGTTAAAAAGGCTATAATAAATAACTGGAAAGGATTTTATGTACTAATATACAATCAATCCAACAAGATAATATAATCCTTGTGAACATTATGCACCCAATTTAGGAGGACTTAAATATAAAAAGCAAATTTTGATGGACATAAAGGGAAAACCAACAGTAAGACAGTCATATTAGAAGATACACATTGACATTGATAGATAAAAACAAAACAAAAAAACAAGAAGGAAACAGGGGCCTTCAATGACATTTTAGAACAGATGTACTTAGTTGATATTTTCAGAGCATTTCACCCCAAAGCAGTAGAATATACATTCTTTTCAAGTGCAGATTAGATAATGCTAGGCCATGAAATAAGTCTCAATAAATTTAAGAAGATTGTAATCATATTAAGCATCTTCTCCTACTACTATAGTATGAAACTAGAAATCAATTATAAGATAACAGTTAAAAAGCACACAGATACATGGAGGCTAAATTATATGTTACTAAAAAATTAATGGGTTAAAAATTAGATCAAAAAAGATACCCTGAGACAAATGAAAATGAAAACAACATGCCAAAATATATGGGGGGAAAAAGGAAATTCATATCACTGAAGGCATATCTTAAGAAATAAGAGAAATCTCAAATAATTTAACCTTACTTGAAGAAACTGGAAAACAGTAAAACAAACAAACAAAAACAAAGACCCAAGTGAGTAGAAGCAAGAAAAATATAAAGATCAGGGCAGAAATAAATGAAATAGAGACTTCAAATATCAATACAATCAATGCTTTGAAAAGATTAATAATATTGATAAATCTTTAACCATACTCATCAAGATAAAAGAGAACCAAATATATAAAACCAGAATGAAAGTGAAGTAATTGCTGACAAAAACAGACATACAAAAATTATAAGAAAATATTACAAACAACATTATGAGCTATGTGGGTTCCTCTTGTTTGGGACTCTGTGCTTTCTGAACTTGTATGTCTGTTTTCTTCACCAAGTTAGGTAAACATTCTGTCATTATTTTTTCCAATAGGTTTTCAATTTCTTGCTTTTTTTCCTTCTCCTTCTGGCACTCCCATGATTCAAATGTTAATATGATTGAAGTCCTCCCAAAGGCTTCTTAAATACACTAATTTTTTAAATCTTTTTTTTTGTATCTGTTTGGATTGGGTGTTTTTTGCTTCCTTATATTTCAAATTGTTGATTTGATTCTCAGCTTCATCTATTCTACTGTTAATTTCCTGTAAATTATTCTTCATTTCAGTTAGTGTATCCTTCATTTCTGACTGGTCCTCTTTCATGCTGTTGAGGTTCTCACTAAGTTCATTGAGCATCCTTATACCCAGAGTTTTGAATTCTGCATCTAGTAGATTGCATGTCTCAATTTTATTTAGTTAGTTTTCTGGAGTTTTGCTCTGTTCTTTTATTTGGAACATTTTCTTTGTCTTCTCCTTTTGGCAGCCTCCATGTATTTGTTTCAGTGTAATAGGTAGACTTGCTATGTTTTCTAAGCTTGGTAGAATGGCCTAATATTGTAGCCCAATGGCACAGCCTCCTTGATCATCCTAGCTGGGCACTAGAGGTACACCCCTGTGTTGGCTGAATATACCTTCCTCTTGTAGTTGAGCCTTGATTGCTGTTGTCACACCAATTAGAGGGATGGAGCCCCAGGCTGATCAGCTACAATGACTGACTATGACCACTGACCACAGACATCTGACCATTGTGGAGATTAGCTGTGCAGAGGACCACCCCATAGTGTAAATCTTACTTCAGCAGAGCTCTGGTACCCACTTTTATCCCCTTGAGTGTGTCATTTGTGGAGGTGGTTGGGTGGTGGTATTTTGACATGGCCTCAAGTTTTCTACTGGGTGCATTGTGTCTGGAGTCTCCTGAGAGGTGCATGTCAAGGTCAGCCACCCCCTGTGTTCTGCCTGGGGCCACTAGGCATGAGCTACAAAGTGATCTTCAGATGGCTGCTATATGTGTTGGGCTTGGAAATGCTCAGGCAAGGCCAAGCTGTGAATCAAGGCCAGCTCCTTCTACTGCTCAGCCTGGAGCCACTTAGCGAGAGGTAATAGGGCTCGCTAAGGCCAGATACTGTTTGTTTGAAAGATTTTTGGAAAATCTGAAGCACCAGCCAATAGAGGCCATTCATATGGAAAAGCCACTGGAAATAGCTTGGGTGGGCCCAAAAGTTGGGTGGCCAGATTGATGGAGATTCAGATATGGTGCCTGCCTGTGTGCTCTGTGTAGGAAGGCTCAGAAAAGGTATAATGGCTTCTGCCTGCCCTTCTGTCTGGGAGAAAGCTGACCCCTAGCTCTTGCCCTGATGCTGGACAATTCAGTTCCTCCCCATATGTCTCTGGTCCCTTTCAAACTGCCCCACATTGGAACTGAAAGGGAATGAGGCTTAGTTAGTCTGTGTATGGGCCCTTTAAGAACTGCCTGCTACTCCAACAGCCTCCATCTCCCTCAGTCTTATCTTGGGCACTTGGTGTAGGGCTGGGACCCTCAGTCCTCAGGGGAGACCTCCACAGCTAGATATCCTTCCAGATTTTTATCCACCGCACATGAGTGTGGGACCAGCTCCTTCCACTTCTGCAACCCTCCTGCCAGTCTCAATGTGACTTCTTTAATTCCCTAGTTATAGGACTTCCATTCAGCTCAATTTCAGGTGGTTCTGAATGATGGTTGTTCTATAGTTTAGTTGTAATTCTGATGTGATGTGGGAAGGGGCGAGTACCACATTTACCTATACTGACATCTTGACCTAAAGTTTCAGGGGTAACATCTTTATAATGACAAAGCAAAAAGCTGTCAACCCAGAATTGTAATCTTATAAAAAATATACTTTAAAAGTTGTGGTGAAATGAAGACTTTTTCAGACAAATAAAGGCACGATATTTTATCATCATATCTGTACTAAAAATATTATGAGTTTGACTATTTTAGATGCCTAATAGAAGTGAAATTATTTTTATTTTTGTGATTGACTTACAATGTAGCATAATGTTCTCAAGGTCTATTCACATTGTCATCTGTGGCAGAAATATAGGAAAACATATCTATGTTATTGTACATGGCAAGAAATTATAAGAGTCATCTGTATATTTTGGATAGTAATGCCTTATATGATATATTAGTACCCTGATGCACAAAGATTCGTGCAAGAATGGGCCTTCCTTCCCCTGGCTGCCAGCACTGCCTTCGCCCAGCCACTCCTTGAGTGGAGTCCAGGGCCGGCGGAAAGCTTGGCTTCCTCCATTGCCAGGAGCAACCCAAGCCTCCTCCTCACTCCAGCTCCGTGGCCACCGCCATCTTCAGTCATCTTCAGTCTTCACTCCACTCCTGCGTATGCAAATTAACCGCCATCTTTGTTGGGTTAATTTGCATAGTCGCTCTGATTGGCTGGTGGGTGTAGTGGCGTGGCAGAGTGATGGAATGATGGTTAATTTGCATGTTTCTCTTTATTAGTGTAGATGGTTTGCAAATATTTTCTCCAATTCCATAGAATGTGTTTACACTCTTTTCTGTGTAGAAGCTTTTTTAATTGATATAGTTTCAGTTATCTATTTAACTTTTTTGCCTGTGCTTTTAATGTCATATCCAAGAAATCAGTACCAAGACCAACATCATGAAGCTTTCCCCTGTAGATTTTCTAGGAATTTTACATTTGTTAGCCTTATGTATAAGACTTTAATTCATATTGAATTGACTTTTGTGTATGGTAGAAGGTGTTTAATTGCATTCTTTTGTATGTAGATATACAGTCTTCTCAGCATCATTTGTTGAAGAGAATATTCTTAACCCATTTTGTATTCTTGACACCCTTATGGAAGATCATTTGACCATAAATGCATGGATTGATTTATTGGCTATTTTATTCCATTGTGTGTCTTTATGCCAGTACCATACTGTTGCACTTACTGGATCTTTATAATATATTTTGAATTCAGAAAGTGTGATGGCTCCAGTTTTGTTCTCTTTTCCTCAAAATTATATTGGCTAATTAGGATATTTTGTGGTTCCATGTAAATTTTAGGATTGTTTATTCTATTTCTGTAAAAAATGCCAATGGGATTTTGATAGAGATTGCTTTGAATCTTTAGGTTACTTTGGGAAGTATAGTTATTTTAACAATGTTAAGTTTTCCAATATATAATACTAGAGGCCTGGTGCATGAATTCGTGCACGGGTGGGGTCCCTAGGCCTGGCCAGCAACCAGGGCCAATCAGAGACATCTTGACAACTCCCGATTGGGGCCGAGACAATTAGGGCCTACTGGAGTGGGGAGGGATGAGGGGAGAGACCGCGGGAGGTTGTTTGGCCAGCCAGGGGAAGAGACCGGCCAGGGGGAGGAACTGTGGGAGATTGGTTGGCTGACCATGGGAGTTTGGCTGTAGGAGTGCACTGACCACCAGGGGGAAGCTCTTGCGTTGAGCATCTGCTCCCTGGTGGTCAGTGCGCATCATAGCGACTGGTCAACCGGTCATTTCATCATAATGGTTACTTAGGCTTTTACATATATAGACTTGAGGCCCGTGCACAAAATTCATGCACAGGGGGTGATGTTCCTCACCCTTGCCTGTGCCCTCTCACAATCTAGGGCCTCCCTCTGTGGGGTGATTGATCACAGGGCACCCAGATCGATCACCTCACAGAGGGAGGCCCTGCTCACCCACTGCAGCACTGCCAGTCGGCTGGTGTGAGCCTCCCTCTGTGGCCGCTCCAACTGATTGCTGTGCAGAGGGAGATCCTGCCCACTGACTGGGGCTCCACAATCGATCATCCAGCAGAGGGAGGCCCAGGGTTCAGAGATTGATCACTGTGCAGAGGGTGGCCTGGGCCTCCTTCTTTGGGGCAATTGCAGAGGCACCTCCACTTCCCATTGATTGCCCCGCTGGCTGGTGTCCTGGGCCTTGCTCTGCAGGGCAATCAATCATGGGGCAATGGCGGAGCCCCCTGACCAATTGCATCACACCCACCTTGGCTGGCCTGGCGCCAGTGTGTGTCATAAC